GTAATTGTAGTGGATAGGATGCTTGACACAGATTTGAGAAAACTTGGTTCAGATTCCACCTGATATTTAGTAGCTGTGTAATATTGGGCAAGTAATTTAGTCTTTGTATGCTTCAGGCAACTCTCCAGGATTTATCTACTAGGTTTTGTTCAGGTCTGGGCATCATAGTTTCCTAAAAATATTAATAAGCTGGAATGCTTTCCAGATAAATGTAACCATGGGCTCAAGATGGTCTTGAGTCAATAACATGAGACATAGTACACAGTTCCTGGCATATAGTAGTCATTAAACAAATGAATTAAATTCAATTAATCAATCAATAAACATTAGTAAATGTTTATTGAATTGAATTAAATTGAGGAAATATAATTGGAAGGAACTGAGTTTCTTTAACCAGCAGAAGAGAAGATTGAGCTAGAAACACTGGAGATCTTTGACCCAATCATTTTTTAGGATTAGATTATTTAGTTTCCAGTTATTTTTTAGTCTATCTTTCCATGGCCTTTTATTACACATAATTTTTATTGCATCATGATCTGAAAAGGATGCATTTAATATTTCTGCGTTTCTGCATTGGATTGTGAGGTTTTTATGCCCTAATACATGGTCAGTTTTTTTGTATGTGCCATGTACTGCTGAGAAAAAAAGTATATTCCTTTCTATCCCCATTCAGTTTTCTCCAGAGGTCTATCATACCTAACTTTTCTAATGTTCTATTCACCTCCTTAACTTCCTTCTTGTTTATTTTGTGGTTAAACTTATCTAGTGCTGAGAGGGGGAGGTTCAGGTCCCCCACTAGTATAGTTTTGCTGTCTATTTCTTCCTGTAACTCCCTGAACTTCTCCTGTAAGAATTTGGATGCTATACCATTTGGTGCATATATGTTTAGTAATGATATTACTTCATTGTCTATGGTGCGTTTTAGCAGGATGTGGTTTCCTTCCTTATCACTTTTGATTAGATCTATTTTTGCTTTTGCTTTGTATGAGATCAGGATTGCTACCCCTGCTTTTTTTAATTTCAGCTGAAGCATAATATATTTTGCTCCAGCCTTTTACCTTTACCCTGTGTCACTCTTTTTCAAATGTGTTTCCTGTAAACAACATATTGTAGGATTATGGTTTTTAATCCATTCTGCAATCCGTTTCCGTTTTATGGGAGAGTTCATCCCATTCACATTCACAGTTATGATTACTCTCTGTGTCTTTTTCTCCATCCTTTTCCCCCCATTTATGCTTTTTTTTCTCCTTTTTCCTTTCCCCCTTCACTAGTGTTTTGCTTTTGACCACCACCTCCTTCAGTCCCTCCCCCTTTTATTATCCTTTCCTTTTCTTCCCTTTACTCTTACTGCTTCTTCCCTCCCTTCTTTTCCCCCTCCCTTTTCTTTCCCCTTTTCCCTCCTACTGCCTATAGGGCAAGTTAGATTTCTATACCTAACTGATTATGTTATGCTCTTATTGAGCCAAATCTGATGAGAGTAAGGTTCAAATAATGCTCCGCCCCCCCTTCTTTTCCTCTGCTGTAATAGGATTTTGTGTCTTTTCCTGTAATGTCTAGTTCAGGTGTTCCAGGATTTTTTTTCTGGGGTGATATTTTCTGGGTTTTCAGAGGTTGATAGGGGAGAGTGAGAGCTTTTCACTCCACCATCTTGGCTCCCGGAAGCGGAACTCTCCTGAATAAAGTATTTAATTCACTTGACAACTATGATAATCCCGGATTTGATGGGGAGGCATTGCATACTTCTGACCTAGAGCTGATCTCAAAGTATCACTTTCTCCTTGACTGTTTGATAAATTCTAACTCTGTCATCATTTCAAAACCGAACTTTCTCCTCATAAGATGTGTAAAAAATTGTAGGGTGAAGCAAACAAAACCCAGAGAACAATATACATAATAATCATATTTACAACAATGCAAATGAAAATATCATTAAAAGGATATTAAACTCTGGGAACTGGGGGAAAACATTGAAGGTTCTGAGGAAGAGATACTAGCAGGGATAATAACAGCTAACATTTATATGGCACTTACTATGTGCCAGGCGCTGGGTTAAGCATGTTACAATTATTACTTTTTATTTTTATTTTTTAAATTTTAGTCTCAAATACCAGAACACAAATACAGAATAGAGAAAAGCAAAAAACATGTCATAAGCTTAAATACAAAGTAATTAGGGGAAAAAAAGCATGTCGCATGCATAGCAGAACATAAGAGAGGATTCAAAATACATAGCAATAAATTTTCATTCAAGAAAGACTATATGATAAATACTACATGTACTCCATCTTTTCTTTGCTTTCTTGTAAATTTTCTTTTGTTCTCTGCTGTGCACTTTTAATTTTGTTCTTTTTACTCCCTTCCTCTCCCCCCACCCAAGGCTACAATTAAATATGGATACATTTATATATAGATATATACATACATATATATGTATATATGTACATATATAGACATATATTTTCCCTAACAAATTTACTCCTGGTGTTTGTTTTTATGTTTGTACATATCTCTTGTTTCTTATCCCTCCTGATTCCTCTACTTTACTTCTTCCTACTATCTTGCCCTCCTATTATTTAGCTTGCCTTCACCTGGAAAGATCCTTCTCCTATCCTCCCATTCCCATAAATCTAAACACCCAACTATAACCCCCTATAACCTATTCCCTCACCCTCCCCTCTAGAGATCCCTCCCTTATCCTCTCCCCAATCCCTATCCCCTTACTGTTTTATTTCTTCTGAATTTAGAGGACTTCTATACTCTTCTAGATATTTATATATTGTTCCCTCTTGAACTCATTTCCAGTGAAAGTAGGTTACCAGAACTACTAGCCCTTCTCCTCCATCTACTTCCTCTGTGTCGATTTTTCCTCTTGCATCTCCTTTGTACAAAATAATTACTCTTTTTAGTTGTTTCTAAATGGTTTTACTTTTTAAAGTATCATGTCACACTGATGTCTACCCCAATCTTTCTTATGAACTACCCAATTACTAATGACAATCTTAGACATATGTTATACATTTTGCCTACATAAAAGGTAAACTGTCCTTATTGAATCCCTTGTGATCAGTCGTTGGTATGTACATTATGTTTCTCTTGGCTCTTGTATGTCAAGTCTTCTATTAAGTTCAGGTGTTTTTTTTTAACAAAATCTTGAAAGTCTGACAGTTGAACAAATGTCCATTTTTTTTTCAATTCAGGCTTATGCTTAACTTTGCTGAGTATGACATTTTCTGCCAGAACCCCAGTTCTTTTGCTCTTCGATGTATAGTGTTCCAAGACCCACTTTCCTTTAATGTCTCCACGGCTAGGTCTTGTGTGATTCTAATTGTGGCATCATCATATTTAAATTGTTATTTTTTTTCTTGTTGCTTTCTTATTGCTTTATCCTTCAGCTGGGGTCTTGGAATTTGACTATAATATTCCTATGAGTATTCTTCACAGGATCTCTTTCAACTGGTGATTGAGGGATTTTTGTCCCATTTCCACTTTCCCCCTTGTTCTAATGCTTCAGGACAATTTTCGTTAATTATTTCTTGTATTATTGTATTAAGATTCTTTTTTTGATCATGGCTTTCAGGTAGTCTGATTATTCTTATGTTTTCTCTCCTTGATCTGTTGTCCAGATCAGTTATTTTTCTTATTAGATGTTTCACTTTCTCTTCTATTTTTTCATTCTTTATATTTTGTTTAATTATTTCTAGATCTCTTATAACTTCTCTGATTTCACCTTCCTTCCTTCCTTCCTTCCTTCCTTCCTTCCTTCCTTCCTTCCTTCCTTCCTTCCTTCCTTCCTTCCTTCCTTCCTTCCTTCCTTCCTTCCCTCCTTTCTTTTTTATCATATCCAGCACCCAGTGCAATGCCTTGCACATAATTGCTATTCAGTGAATATTTGCTGATTTGCTTGGTTAACTTAAGAATGTTAATCTCATTCATTAATAGGTCACTCTGTCCCATGTTCTGTTTCTGCCCTTTTGGCTATCAGACAGGTCTGGCTTACTTTTGCAGGATTATGGGTACCCTGAGGATTCTGTAGCTTGACACCTGTAGGGTAAAGAGTGCTTGACATTTATCTCATAGAAATTATTGTCAAATCAACAACACATCCTAAGGGGATAGAAAAAAAAAGTACAGAAAATCTCCCTCTTCTCAAAGAGCTCACAGTCTAATAGAGGAAACAACTTTCAAACAACTATGTATATTACAAGATATTTATATAAGAAGATATATACAGGATAAATTATATTTTAGAACTACATTATCTAATATACTCCCTCATCTTATGAGGAAACCCAGAGATTCAAAGAGGTGATGTCCAGGACCAAATATGAAATTCTCTGTTTTGGAATTCAAAACCCTCCTTAACCAAGCCCTCTCCTACCTTTCCAGTTTTCTTACACCTTATTCCCCAACATGTACTCTTCAATCCAGTGACACTGGCCTTCTGGCTGTTCCACAAACAAGACATCTCAGTCTTCAGCTCCCAGCATGTTCTCTGATCCAACTATTGACCTCCTTGATCAATCACAATTAAATCCCACCTTCTATAGGAAGGCTTTGGTAACCCCTCAATTCCTCATTAAGTCACAATTAAAATCTCACTGTTGAGGTGTAGATGCTAGGGGTGCTGGGACACCAAAATCAAGACATGTGGGTCCTGTCCGAATGAATTCAACCCAAGTCTTCTTTCAGCCAAAGACAAGGTTTAGTAGAGATGAACCATACAGGCCAGACTCTTAAGGAATCTGAACATTTGTGATGCTTGTAAGGACAAGCCTGCACGAGGAAGTCTCAGTGTTTAAATGGGGGCCAGGATGGATCTTATATACAGCCAAGTAATTTGGGGGGACCTGAGGAATTTAGGGAGAATCTCCATGGGAGTGTCTGGGAGGCTGAATGGACTCATCTGGGAATGGACAATGGAGGGCTAGGCTTTATTAAAGTAGCAAAAAACTGGAAGATAGGGAAGGAAGAGGTTGAATGGGGTCATCCTGGAATAGACAATGGAGGACAAGGCTTTATTAAGGTAACAAAAAACTGGAAGACATGGCCCAGGGAGAAGGATGAGGTTGATCTACACTAGGCTTCATTAGGGTATCAAAGGGAGATAGGGCCTAGGATAAGGAAGAGCAGGTTGATCTGAATAAGAATAAAAGGTAAGGAAAGGCCACTTGAATGGATTATAGCCTTGGGAAACCTCTTGAGACTTCTTTAACCAAGTGAGTTCAAAGAAAGTTCAAGGGTTTTCTGGGACCCAAATTCTTTTTGGGGTGGGGGCAAAGGTCTCAGCTTGGGCCCATACCCTATCACCACCTTCTATTCTACAGGAAGGCTTCCCTAACCCCTCTTAATTCCTCACTACTTCAAGTTTGGATTATTGCTTAGTCTTCTGGCTGATCTGTTGGTCTTTCTCCTAGGTCCAATCCATCCTCCTCTCACCTGCTAAATGTGATTTTAAAGTGAATCTGACCATGTCACACTTTAGTTCACTGTTACCTCCAAGTTCAAGTATAAAATCTTCTATATGGCATTTAAGAACCTTCACAACCCTTCCTATCTTCCACCCCTGGCTGACTTGCTGTTCCTTCCACTGGACAATCCATCTCCTGACTCCATCCATACCTTTTCACTGACTGACTGTCATGTCTAGAATGCTCTTCTTCCTCACTTCCTCCTCCTGGCTTACCTGGCTTTCTTCAAGTCTTAGATAATTTGTTCTGCAGAAGGCTTTCCTTTACCCATTCCACCCCATGGCTTTGATACTAACTTTCATTTGCACTGTATATATCTTGGATGTACATAGTTATTTGCATGTTATTTCTCATGTTAGAATGTAAGCTCCTTTTAGGGCAGGGGTGAAGGGATGGGGTGGATTTTTTATTTTTGGCCTTTCTTTGTATTTCCAGTCCTTAGAATAGTGCCTGACACCTACTGTTTCAATAAAGTACTTATTGACTGACTGCCTTCTATAGTACCTTTGCTTCAAAGACCATATTAGAAGTAATCCAGTTTACTCAGGATTTGTCTGGAGAGAAGGCAGAGATAAATGGGAACCATCACATTCTTATCAAACAAGCTTAGTTCTCATGCACCTTTTGGGAGGAGATCTGGGTCAGAAGCCCATTTTGATTTAATGTTTGCAAACCTCAACCATGATCCATACTTCAAAATCTTCAATTTTATTTTCATTACAAAACACTACCTAAGTGGTCTCTATGGTAGTTAGGCAGAGAGAGAAATTCATTGATCACAGTGCTTAGAGTGAATTCCAATTTTGTTAAGTGGAGAAGTTCTCTTGAATTACTTCAGTATATCTTTAAAAGTGCCAGGATTGGCTGATCATGTTTAACCAAAATCCATTTCATGTTGATAGAACATTGATTCTGTGTTGAAGGAAGAAAATACATACATTGGTTTCCTTAGCTGAGAAACAGATCTTTCCTTCTTAGATGGGCTTATTTGTTTTTCCCTGAAGGTAGAGATTGAGATGGAATTTGGGAGCGTGGGGGAGGATGGGAGTAATCTCCCTTATATATAGACCTTTTAAGCTCTGCCCCCCCCAACTCATCATTCACTCTCTCTCTTCACTTACTGTTTAATACACAACCATTTTATTTGTCCTCCAACAATGTGACTCTGGGCATTTTTCTTAAAAAAAGAGGTTGTCATACCAAATCCTTTGGAATGTAAGACACAGTAATTGCCTTTCACTAGTCTTTTAGGAACTTGAAATAGGTACTTTAGCATTCCCCATGTTTCCTTGGCCATTGGAAGTACAGAGTTTATTACTGCCTCTTTATGACCAGGGATCCTCAGCTGTGTTTGGCTTTTATAGTTTAGAGTCAAAGCTGCTAAGTCATTCTTTGGGAGAAAGTAAGTAATTTAGAAATGAGGGTAAGATTTAGTACTTTTCCCTTCAATGGCCTTCACTTCACGGAGGCCTTATAAAGGATAAAAGTGAAAAAAAAAGTGCCTGTGAAAATGACTTTTTTTCCCTAATGAAAATAATATTAATTTTTCAGCACTAACATGACATCTAGATGATTCATTTACTAAAGTATTATGCGCTAAAAAAAAAGTTTTCTGGTGACCTGAAAGATTAAGTGTAAATCTCTAACTACAATTCTTAGAAAAAGGGAGTAATATAGGCCTTTGGGACTCTGATGCACAGAATAATATTAATTATGTACAACATAATGCCTGTTTAAGGGACACCTTTTCTCTTTAAAAAAAGAAAAGAGGGAGGGAATTCTATGAATCTTTATCTCCGAAGTGTTAACTTCAATTTGTAAGTAGAAAGTGACCATGAGGCAATATTTTAAAAATAGATTTATATTGATATCTTTTTTTTATATCAACTAGATTTTTTCACTGTATCTATTCCCTTTAGCCTATTCACTCAGTCATCACTTGTAACTATTTTTTTTAAATCAGCAAAATAAATCAATACATCAAAAATAATCTAACTTTACATTCAATGTTTTATATTTGTAGACTCCCCTTCCCCTTCCTTCTCTTGCAAAAGCTGCCTTAAATCTTATTTGGGCCAAGCTTGTTCATTGTAATTTCCCAACATTCATTTTTGATAGTTTATTGGTAATTGGTGGTAATATGCATCATGTATATTCTTTTCCTGACTCTGCTTACTTTATTTTATATAAGTTGATATGTCTTTCTATGCTTTTCTTCATTTATCATGTTTATTATTTCCTGTAGCATAATAATCTATTTTATAACATCCACAGTGTCTTAGCCAAACTTATCTGAAAAGGTCAGCAGCTATGTGGATAGAGTGGATAGAATACTGGGCTTGCTCAGGAAGACTCATCTTCCCAGGTTCAAATCTAGCCTCAGACACTTACTAGCCATGTAACCCTGGGCAAGTAACTTAACCCTACTTGCCTTAGTTTCCTCGTCTGTAAAATAAATTGGAGAAGGAAATGGCGAACCCCTCCAGATCTTTGCCAAGAAATGCCATCCAAATGGGTTCATTGAGAGTTGAAAATCACTGAGCAAGAGCATAATAGATATACATATGATAAATTTGACACCGTTTCAAAGCTGTCCTGCTCATGTGTCGCCTTGTGAACTTGTTTATGTTCTTTTCCGTACATTTTTAAAAGATGCTGCATCTTTAAAGATGCCATCTGTAACGTCCTCATTACTCGAGGAGGGCTGCCTGGGTCATACTCACCTGCAGTCTTCGGGCGTCCCCGGTTAACGAAGGAGTGGAGTCGACAGAGAGGTGTAGTTTCAAACGGTTTATTCCGCCATCAGCTCAAGCGAGTAAGCACCTAGAAGCTAGTTCTGCCTTCTGCGTTGCTCTGCTTCAACCCCCCTAATCTCGGAAGAACTGACCTCTATAGCCCGTGTGAGGAACCTGCCTCCCCAGGCAGAGCCCCATGGAGGGAGGAGGTGCCCTGGGCACTCAGCACACCGCGTTGTAGCGCAGTGCCCACTTCCTCTTGGCAATAGCCTAAACTCACCTCCATAGCAGAGAGAGGAGGTGCCATGGGAGTTCAGCACACTCGATGGTGCACTTCCCAGTTCCTCTTCGCATCCAGCCCTACTCACCTCCAATCTGGCCCCTTCCTGGTTCAGCATGTCCTTCATAGCCATCTTTGGCATCTCTACCACTATTTCACTACCCCACCCTTATGTTCCTCACCATTGGGGGAAAAACACTCCCTTGTAACAAATAATTACAGACAAACAAAATCCACACTTTCGTCATTTGATCAAGAAAATATGAAATCTTAGTCTTTCTCTCTCTAGCCTTTTGTCAGGCAAACGTAGCATTGATTAAAATTCTTAAATCCTTTGGTTGTTTTTTTATACATAACATGATAGTTATTGTATAAATTGTTCTATTGGTTCTGGTTTCTTAACTCTGTGTGTATCAGTTCATATAAATCTTCCCTGGTTTCTCTATCACATCATTTTTTTATGGCATGATAGTATTTCATTATATTCATATGTCATATTTTTTTGGCCTTTCCCCAGTTAATGGTTATCCTGTTAGTGTCTGATTCTTTGCTACAACAAAAAATGCTGCTATAAATATTTTTGTACATATGGGTGCTGGTATTATTGGATCAAAGAGCATGCACAGTTGGGTGGTTTTTGGAAGATAGTTCTAAATTACTTTCCAAAATAGCTAGACCAATTCATAGCTTCACCCTGAGTTAGTAATCTACTGAAATACTTTCCACCTGGACTGTTGTTGAACCATATCTTCCTTATCCTGTATTATGTTCTAGATATTTTGCATTCAAGTGTGAGTTTATTTTTGTTCTGATTAAATTTTATCTTGTTATATTCAACTCATTTTTTCAAGAGTTATTTACCTTGTTTGCCAAGAAACTGCAAAGTGAAAAAAGTGTAAGAAAAGAATATGAGAACTAGAAGATATCTATCTTAAAGCTCACATACCCCCCCCCATTTTTACAGAGGCAACCTTACCTAAAAACCCAACTCCACTCCTAATTCTCTAGACTTTCCCCCCTTACCTTAACTGTCTTTTCTTGCTGGAGAATCCTGGGATGGATTGAGGATGGGGGGCAATCTTCTGTTCATAGCCTCATACTGAAGAAGTGTCCAGGTCAGCCATGCTCACTTCCACTGGGGCTCAGCTCCTGACTCTCCTCCCCTGTGGACTTTTATACCTCCTCCTGCTCCTCTCTCCTTTTTCCTTTTTCTTTTATGTTGTCTTCCTTCATCCAAATGTAGGCTTTTTGAAGGTAGGGATTGGTTTGTTTTTGTTTTGTTTTTGGCTTGTATTTGTATTCCTAACAGTTAAAACAATTCTTGGCACCACCGTAAATGCTTAAGAAATGCTTTACCTAGTCATACAGGAAATGAAGGCCCTTCCTTACAGGTTAAGTGCCTTTCTAAGGTTTTATAACTAGAAAGCCAGGGCTTTTTCAAATCCAGGTCAGGTGCCTTCCCTCCTACCTCTCTCTGTGTAGGGTTTGCTTACACATCTGTGCAAATATACTTATCTACCACCTGTAAGTCACTGAAGTCCTGTAGTTAAAATAAGGATCTTGTGAGAAAGGTCCCCTTAATATGTATTTGTATATGTATTTTATCATTGTTCACTAGTTCATATGTTGCTTTGCAATGTTTCATATGTTGTTAATATTCATTTGTGGGACTTCTGATGTCTCTTTGGAGTTCTAAATTCCTAAATTCCTCAGTTCCTCAAAGGGAGAGATTTGTCCCCAACTTCTTTGTCTTCTACATAGGGCTTAGCTCAGTGGGCCTCAGTTTCTTTGATAATAAAATGGAATGGTTTAGATTAGATGACTCCTGTGAGGTGGGAGTATTATTATTCCCAACCTAGCTGGGGAAAGCTAACACTATTAGGAGTGGTTGAAGCTAAGATTTCCACCCATCCCCTGATTTTAATTCTAACATCCTCTATGGTTTCTCTTGAGCTCTCAAATTCTGTGATTGTGTTGTTATGCACACAGCATAAATATGATGTATACACCAATACAGGCTCAATTAATAAGTGAATGAATAATTGCATCATTGTGTGAAAGGTTTTCTGAATCCTGTGACAAGCAGATGCACAAAAATTGTTGCCCTTTACTACCAGGCTTTCAGGATGGAAAGTGGTTAATGTGTTAAGCATTGATTTAGTGATATTCTCTATAGAATTTTCAGGCATGAATGCTTCCTTGCCTTTCCCTCTCGTTAGGCAACATTGTAGAATAGTTCAGACTTTCTTTGCCCTTTGATTTCTGTTCTCTACACTAATTTGTCTGCCACATGAGTTTATTAAATCCCAGAAAGACAACACTCACTGAAATGGAACTGTGATGAAAGCAGAGCATCAACTCACTTTGGACCATTAGTGAAGACCTTTTATTTCCTGGGGCAGCATCCATGTCACAGAGCTAAAGGCAAGCTAACAGCAGAGATAAAATTGTTTTAAAAAGAATCTGTGTAAAAGCATCTCAAGTTTAGACTTCTGCACTACCGTTTTGGCCTCATTGTCTATATCTCTGCTGTTTTCCCTGTTTAGAGTGTTCCTTGTGTGATCAGTCCTTAGTAGGCTCGACAGACATTGCTTTTAATGGGTTAATGGTGATGGAGAGGCCCTTCACCCAATCCTGGTGAAAAGCCTCTTTAAGTTAGAAAGCCAAGCCAACCGAATGAGGCAAGAGGGCTGGTTTTTGGAGTTAGACGACGGTAGTCACATCCTTCTGCTACCATTTATTCCTTTCATGACCATGGACAAGTCTAATAATCTCTATGGACCTCATTTTTCTTCATCTGTAAAATGGAGGAGGGGGTGTTGGACTAGATGACCTCTAAAGGTCTCTTGGTGGTATCACTCTGATGTAAAAGATCTACTTTTTTTTATTATTATTTGATTGCTATTAAAAAAATACCCTAATTCAGACTAATTGGGATGTGGGTAAAAAAATCTGCTAGGTGGTGCACTGGGTAGATTGCCAGGGCTGGAGTCAGGAAGACTCCTCTTCCTGAGTTCAAATCTAACCTCAGACACTTAGTAGCTGTGTGACCCTGGACAAGTCAATGAACCTTGTTTGTCTCAGTTTCCTCATCTGTAAAATGAGGTGGAGAAGGAAATGGTAAACCATTTCGGGATCTTTGCCAAGAAAACCCAAAATGGGTCGTGAAGAGTGTGACATGACTGAAATGACAGAACAACAACAACAGAAAGGTCTGAATTCTAGAATAGTGAAATCATGTTGTTTCTTTCCCCATTACTTATAGTCACTGGAATTCTTTTTAATTAAATAAATAAGAATGATGTATAATTAATATTTCAAAACTCTCTCCTACCCAGAGCACTATTGTGTTCACATTGTTTTTAAGTCAATGGCTAACTGAGATGTTTGGAAAGCATTTGTTCTTTTAGTGAATCTTTCGTTTTGAATTCTGTCAGTCTTCTGCCTTACTTAGCCAGAGGTCAAAATTCGAGGTAGATTAATTCTAGATCTGGTTTACTAAAGTGTTACTGTGGTTGGTTACTGCTTAGTCGTGGTTTTTTCCCCTCTATGCCAACTTCCGCCCACACATCTAGTGATTTCAGCATTGATGCTTCTTTTTATCAGGGTTTCTTAACCTAGGAGATAGATTTCAGGAGGGGGGGTTATTGAATTTAGGCAAAAATTACACCTTTATTTTAATACAGTTGATTTACTGTGTAATCCTGTATATTTTATTTTATGCATTTAAAAATATTATTCTGGAAAATTTTTAAACTCAAAAGCATATGGAAGTAATTGTTGATAAATAAAAATAAATTAATAAAAAAACCATTATTCTGAGGAGTCCTATAGGCTTCTGTGCATTTTGGCATAGATTGCCAAAAGGGTCCATGATGAGGAAAACAATTAAGAACCTCTGCCTTGAACTCTCTGAATTCCCAGTGCATTGACCTCTATTTTCATAACATTCATATCGACTCTGTCTTAGTCACTGGTAGAGCTGATGGTAACATCTTAAATTAGATGTGGGCAGCAACACTCCTAAGTGGGGCCAAATGTAATTGGGAAATATTTAACAAAATAAATAAAAATATAATTAAAACATAATAAATAACATCACATTTACAAAGTCAGTATGTGGACTGCAGAGATCCTTATGTACGGATTAGTTGCCCTTGCCCTCTCCCTCCTTTCTATTTGAGTTTGACACTACTGCCTTAGCTTCTACCAGCACCCATGACTGTCACCACCATGATAAAATGCTGATACTGATCTTTCATGGTAATTTTCTGGTCTTTGGTCTTTCTCTCTTTGCCTAACCACTCCTAAACTTATTGTTTCTCTTGGTAACAACCAATTAGTCCTATCCGTCTCTAAGCTAGCTGAGTTCTCTGAGGCCATCTAGTTCAAACCCTTCATTTTATAGATTAGGAAATGAAACTCAGAGAAGGTAAGTCATTTTGCCAAAGGTAACACAAGCAGAAGCAGATCATCTGACTCTAAATCTGTCACTCTTTCAAAAAGCATCAAAGTGCCTTGCATTGCATTGGTATGGTTTGCTGATACTCTGTTATATAATAGATATTTTAAAATTTTCAACACAGCGCTTTTAATAGATTTTATTGATACTTTTTGTTTTATATCATCAAAATTTCTCCCCGTGATTAACCCTCCCATAGTAAGCCACCCTTTATTAAATAGTTTTTATTAAGAGCAAGAGGAGACAAAAAGATTCAGCTAAATCAAGTAACATATTGGAAAAAAAAACCCTGATATTGTATGTAATGCTATTGACCTATGGAGCCTCCATTTCTGAAA